AATTAAGAACAAGCTGAAGCTGAGGTTCTTTAAAAAAGCAAAAATATAAGAACATTGTGAGAGCATACATCATTGTGTTATAAATGATGTATTTTTTCACGACAGGATATATTTTACTAATTTAAAAAGCAATACCTGTTTTACACAAATCCAGTTTTTTAACAATTGAATATTTTCTCGTGTCTAGACATTTTAACCAATATCCTAAGTATCTGATAAAAATCCAGCCTCAAAGCTTTGGCAAATTACGATCATGCATTTTCCTGGGGAACAAAAATCTAATCACTGTGGGCTTCTGTGATTCATATTGGATCTATATAATCCATGTATAGAAAGCTCAACATAAAATGCACCAAAAAATAGACCTTTTTTAAACTAAAAACTGGAAACATCAAATAACAGTTCTTATCAAATATGAAACCCAAACATTAAACTTGCTAAAACGCCACAATCTTGTATAATCTGAATATGCTAAAACAGATCCAGTTGAAAAAGGGGAAATGGGCAATGGGTCACGTGCATGGAGACTGTTAAAAGAATTTTAAGATGTCATATGTTTGTTATCAACATTTTTGTGAAAGACATATAAAATATTCTTATACTCAACCCAAGTTTTAGGTTGTTTTCGAGCTATCCAGAAATCTCAGTGTGAGCCTGCAAAAAAAATTAATCTCTTTCATTACTAGAAGTCTGTAGTATGTTTTAAACAATCTGAACAAGTTGAGATACTAGTGAAATTTCTTTGCGTTTCTGTGAGTGTGATTTTCCTAAAATTCTGTATATTAGTCTCTTCGCAACTGGCTTGTGAACATTAGTCAAAGTTTACAAACGAAAGGCCATCATTATTATTGTTGATGTTTTCATCATGCACCAGACCCAGGCTCATACAAAAGGATGCTTTACATAGCATCTTACAAAAATAAGCCTGGTGGTAACGAATGTTAGGCTTATCGGCTAGCTTTGTTCAGATCCATTCAGATACTGACGAATTTTTTTAAAAATATTTAATTTGGTAATCACATTGAAGTAGGATTATAAAAGCATCCAAAATTGAAGAACTTTGCTTTCAATTTCAAAGCAGGATCAAATTGTTTGGATAGAGACATAATGAATCTCCCGGAACATCCAGGCAAAGCTTTCTTCTCAACTGTCTTTGTGATTGCATCACTTTTTATCTTTGAAATATATCTCTAAACTAAAAATGTTTCACTTGAAATCTCAGAAACAATCATACCTTGAATATCGTTTAAAACCGAGGTTTAGAGCTGCTACTTCTGTCTGTCAAATGTTAGATTGATAATGCCAGAACTTTTCAAGGCTTTCACCAAAACTATTCTTATACTGTCAAGGCTCGATAGAAATAATCTGCTTAGAACCACTCCTCTGCCTCTATGATAATTACATTCCCTCCGCAAGAGAAACGAACCTGTTTTTAGCTAAAACCGTTTTTTTAATTTAAAGAAATGCATTTCACCTAGATATAATCACAGAATAGGAATATTCTTATTCTGTGATATAATATTCTTAGTTAACTCTAATGTTGATTCTAACTTTACATTTATCCGGACTTTTTTATGGCTTACACATATTCAAATAACGCATTAAAAAGTTTCGATTAAATCCCAAGCTCGGTTCTTATGTTTTTTAAATAGAAAAGCGTAACGTAAAACCTACATAAAATTGTTCAGGCATGAAAGGACATAGGAAGCAATACACGTTTGTACATGAGCTTGGACTTATATCTCGGGAATGTATCTTCATGATAACATCAGATTACAAATAACTTGACACTATCTTTTTATCTATTCTTAAACTTCATCAGGATTGGCACTGAAAGTGTTATTGTCACTGGAAAATAGTTTGGAGACATTCAAAATTGAAAAGATTTGCTCAGCAGCACCTCTCTTGCTAGCATGGTATTCTACCAGAGCTATCGGATCGGATTCGCTCTGCGCCTAATCATTTTCTTAAAATTGCCCACGGCTTCAGCCTTTCCAAACGATTTAACTGCAAACACGTTGCCGCGGAAATGCAAAGGACGCTGACGTCGGCGCAATGTCCATCTTCAATTAAAATAGACAATACAAATGGGCCATTAAGGAACAATTCGTCGGAAATCGACTCCAGAAACATCTTCTTTGCCGTCGCAAAAAGTCTAATAACTTTGTTTTTAGTTTGACGCTACAAAACAGCTTACCAGCTTAAGAATTTTCTTTCCTCTGACTCGACCTTTGAAATAAAAACTTTTCGTTGTTATTAGGCATTTTTATCGATCTAAGGAGAAGCCAGAAATGCCTTTCTTTGTCAACCTCGGCAAGGCATACTGGCTTCAAAGGATTTGGTAAGAATAAAAAGTCTTCTTTTCGTTTCGCCACTCGCTTTGACCGTTTGTTTTAAAATGCACGATCAGTGGTGGCGCTAGGTTTCCTCCGACAAAGGGGCTAGCACTTCCGACGGAGGGGCTAATTTTTTTAGAGAACGATAGGGCTAGGGGGCGACAAGGAATTGTAAGGGTACTGGAGACCGAAGGCGAGCGTTGCGAGCCGAAAATTCGGGGGTCCGGGGGTACTCCCCCGGGAAAATTTTGGTGGCTACACCCATTAGATTGGCTAAAAATGCTATCAAAATGGTGTAATCGTGTTTTTTACTACGTTTTTTGACATATTACTAAGGGCACGTTTGCCCCCTCCCTTGCCCCTCCTAGCAAAGGGCAGGAGGGGCGCTTGCCCCCCCGCGCCCCCCTTCTCCGGCGTCCCTGGAAATTTTTTTTGAAAGCTGCCTCTAGATAAGCTTAAAACTACTCTAAATCTTTACAACTCATCAAACGTTGCCAATTCAAGTAGGGCCTATCTTTGGAAAGTATGAATTTAAATAAAAAGCAACCAACTGAACTTAAGGAAAACTGGAACACAACGTAACTTTATAGGAACAGACCTAAGCGGTGGAATACGCACTTCTACATATCGAAAATTCAAGTCCAAGAATCAAAATTGTTTCACAGAGCAATTCTACTCTTCGGGAACTTAGCCTTAAATCTGTCTACTACTGAGTCCAAGTCAAGAGCACTTCCACGGGCACGATGAATACCTAGCATCATCAGACTGTCTAGACGCTCGTCCTTCATAAGTGAGCGCAGATCACTCTTGATGAGGCGCATAGAGCTGAAGCTGCGTTCACATTCGGCTGAAGAGACTGGCAAAGTGCATGCGATGGATACAAGCCGGTGCAGCTCAAAGAAAGCTTCATTTAGCTTTTCCAAGTGTGCCTCTAGTTGCAGAAGTGTGCTTGGGCGGTGTTTTTCTTCTTTTCTTGAGAGCATATATTTAAATGTGGCAATTTCACTGCGTAGTGCACCAATTTCAGACTGAAAAAGCTCAGCAAAATTGACAAGAGTTGTTGGGTCCAAGTAGCTTTTCGACTTGGGGGCCAATGCAGTTATGCCTTTCATGATCTTTATGTTTTTTTCGTCAAACCGCTTGCAAAGTTCTGCAGTTGTTCTGTTTAGTATTTCTTTGACATTTTGTACGTAGCCATCAAACCCGCTTGCTACTTGAGGCTCTGAAGATGCTTCCACAACAAACTCTCGAAGAGAAGCAGGCGTTGCCCTCTTTCTTGGTGGTCTTTTTTCTTCCGGCAATTCCAAGCGATCCGCTGCTTCTTCGGCAGTATCCCAGAACTCTTGAATCTTATCCCTGCTTTGACAGTCATCCAGTTCATCTTTCAATGTTGCAATGAGATCAATGGCTTGACTCAAATCATTGGAGGGTTTCTGCAACATGTCAGACGCAAATTTGGCTTTGTTCAAGACGTGTCGGATGGCAAACAGGTATCTCACAAATTTCCTGTCAATCTGCAGAAGATAACCAGTAGCTTCTGTTCTGCGACCGGGGTTCGTATCTGTGTCAATCACATCCTGCAGGACTTCCACCAAGATATCCAACCGCTCCCAGAAAACATTGAATTGCTTCGCCTGGCAAGACCATCTCGTGTCAGAAACTTTTCCAATTTCCATCACATGAACCTTGTGATCCTCTTGGACCTTTACCCATCGTACATGAACGGTGCTGCTGCTCAGAAAAGAATGCAGGCTTCTGAATAGCGATATCATGTCTGCCACACAACTGATTGATTTCACAACATCGACGATCACAAGGTTCAATCGATGACAAAAGCAATGGACGTAGTAAGCCATTTCAGCACCGGTTTTCAGAGGAAGTTTCCTTTGAACGCCATTCAGGTGACCAGAAACAACAGAAGCTCCATCGTAGCCTTGCCCCACGCATGCTTTCATGTTGGCTTCGATGCGTTGCAATCGTTCAATTATTGTGTCTGAAAGACCATCTGCATCTAAACTTTGCGCCTCAGCAATGCCAATAAATTCCTCATGTATGGCATTCTCGTAGCAGTAACGGACTGCAACAACAAGCTGCTCTTTTTTGCTTCTATCTTTAGACTCATCTGAAAGGACGGTAAAATACTGAGCCTTATTGAGCTCACTTTTTATTTGCTCAAGAACCATGTCTTTCATAATGTCTAAGATGGCATTCTGTACGCTGTGGTGAGTATACTTTGCATTTTTCGGGCCAGTGCGGATTTTGTCAGCAACAACTGGGTCATGCCTTGCAAGAAGACCAAGTATCGCAAGAAAATTACCACAAGAAGGTCCATAGTCTAGAGCTTCTTTATTTATATCGGCAACACGAAATGAACCTCCAGTCTCACGTTGGGCAATCTTCCGCTGAGCAGTGAGAAGCAGGACTT